ATGAGCAGAGCTACAATACGTCGAAGTCTGGCGACAAGAAGACTACCTTGAAGAAGTGCGTGAACCGCGTGGTTGATGGTCAGTGCGACATCTACTCCATCACTGTCGAGAGAGGCATGGCAGAGGAAGAAGAGCCCTCCCTGGACAAGATGCGCAACAAGGGGTGGGAAGTGATCTTCCTTACAATACTGACCTCTTCAAGGTGAGAGCCATCGAGCAGCTCAAGAATCATGACGGCAAGAGGCTGACGTCGACCAAGAAGGTGGAGGAGCAGCTGGAGCGGGACGACATGAAATCGAACAACCACCAGCTGCAGAACAAGCTCACCAGCCTGGAGGCGCAGGTCGGCAACAAACTCGCCAAGCTCAAGAGCTCCGTGGTTGACGCCATCCACCCGTTGGTCACGGCCTGCCTTGCGAAGGCGGACTGAGGCTAGGGACGGGCGCCGTTCTGAGAGGAGCCCGCGCCGAGGTCCTCCAAAGAGGCAGCGTCGTCTTCGGGCACGTCGTTGCGTCGCTCCTGCTTGACAGGTGAACTGCAGCGGCAGGATTTGGTTATCCTTCCCCCCTCCGCTTTGCCGCGGCCGTGGGCGTGGACGTGCCGCCGTTGGGACGGCGGTGTTTAAGGCTTCGACGGGGGTCTGAGTGGCTAGCCACTGGGTGTCCTGCCCCCGCTGGGCGGGTGTGGGTGCCCTGGTGGCTTCCCTCCCCATTCTCCCTGTCCAAGCCTTTGCGCTGAAATGTGTCTAACCCAACTCTCCCCCCTCCTCCTCCTCCTCCCCCTCCTTCTCCTCCTCCCCTTCTCTCCTCTCCCTCATCTCCTCCTCTCCCTGCTCCATCCCTGCGCATCCGTAATGATGAGGAGGGCCGCCGCCCACCTCCTCCTCCCCCCTTCCCTCCTCCTCCTCCTCCTCATCCTGCGCGCCTTTTCCTCATGAGCAGCTCCTCCCCGTCGCACCCTCACATGTGTCGGTAGGGCGGGCCAAGCATGTCGCCTGAGACTTCCCCACCATGTCTTGTCCTGGAACTGGAAAATTTGCCGCAAATTCACGGGTGGGGGGGGGGGCGGGTCATGTTGAAAATGTGCCTCTCGCCTCAACGCCACACACATTCGTCTTAACAGTTTGCAGCACTTTCAGAACGCCGCGCACATTCGTGCAACACGTGTGCAACCACTTCGAAAATGGAGGGCTCCGTTTCTTTTTCAAAAGGCTCTCGCCCGATCGGCGCCGCGAACCTCCGTCTTGAAAGCTTGAAGCCGTTTCACAGGATTGTATGTTTGAAGTCCCAGGAACGGTGTTTTGGTCAACGCGCAACGATCACGTTGATTCGCGGCGTCGACGTTCCAGGAATGGTGATCTGGAGTGGTTTCGGACTGCCAGGGCGTAAGAGTTACATTGGTTCGCGGCGCTGAAGTACCAAGAAGAGTTTCGGTACGATTGATGATTCTGAAACGCTTGCTGTCCAACGGGGCACTTCCCGCGAGAAAAAATCTTCATTGGGACCTGCGGAGAAGGTACTTGGAGGGAGTGGGATTGATTGCACCATCATTGATGCGTTTGGGGGTTCTCCCCTCCTCCTCCTCCTCCTCCTCCTCCTCTCCTCCTCCTCCTCCTCCTCCTCCAAGTGGCCGTGCCAGGCCTGAACCGCCCAGCGCCACTTCAGGAATTCAGAAATGCAAGTAGAAACAGGAGCATGACGCCATGTCGACTGATGTGCTCAGCGGCGCTTCTCGGGCAGATACGCATTGTCGCTTACCCGAACAGCGCCACTCGCGGGCGCGTGCAGGACATACTGGACGAGCTGCACAACGAGACGGAGGTGAGCCTGATAGGCACCCAGGAGAAGGCAGACCAGCTGCGGTACTCGAACAGCTGCGAGGCGATCATCAGGCGGCTCACGACGCTCGACTCCCTTGCAGGCAGATGGATACCGATGGATTTGAATTCTACTTTCACTGAGGAGATAGGTGGAGTTATTGGGCCCTTTGGCCATGGCGAAGAGGAGCGTAAGTCAGCAAAGCTACTGAAGCCAGTCTTGCTGGCCCACGAGCTGTGCATGGTGAACACGATGAAAGATGCAAATTACACCTCCGTGGCGTCAAATGGTCAGAATTATATAGCAATGCCGACGGCTATCCTTTCAGAAGTCAAAAGATACACGAGAAGCATGCGGCGACAACAACCGGGACGTGCGTGGGATCATCTACCGCTTGGCAATGGTTTTCAGTGGTCGAACGATCTTATACCAGAGCCGCGCGCAGAGAAGCAAGTACGCAAGAGGTATGATTTCACGAAGGTAGTACATGCTCATATCTTGTCACGGGCAATTTGGGTTAAGAATCAGACGGGCTACACGATGGCGGTGACGGCGAATCAGTTATCGGACTACGCTAAAGAGCTACGTGGTTTGCTTCACGATCGACGAGCAGTGCGAGAACGTGTAGCAGTGGCATATGACTTGGTGCAGCTGGAACCTTCAGTTCGAATCAGTAAATGGCTACGACAGAGCAAGCAGAGACACTGGCGACGGGTGGAAGAGGATGGAGTACGTGCCTCTGCACGAACACAACGAGGTTTTCACGAAGGGTATCGCATGGCGCGTTTAACAGCAGCAAAAGGACGGGGACTACGACGACGCAGCTATCGACAGTTACGCACGAGTGGCACCGCATCAGAATGGACTACGCGAATGCAGCAAGAGGGTGTGCAGGGTGGTGCTTCAGCGCAGGCTGTCAACTACGACGCCATGCTTCAGATGGTGCATGACCTGCCCGAACAATCCAACGCAGTGACGGCCGATGAGATGCAAGAGGACGTGGACGCATTCAAACATGAGTTTTGGCGGTTATGGCGAGTAGAGAGTATCTGTGCAGAATTTCGTCGGGTGGCAATGTTTCCAAATTTGGTTGAAATGCGGAGGCAGCAATGCAACTACGGGGTAGGATACGATACGGAGCTGGAGAAGATAACCGCGGCCCACGTCTACTTTATCATTTGGTGCCTGATCCGTGAGAGTGGAAAACTACCTTTATCTTGGATCTTGTCAGGTGCGTGTAAGATTGGCAAAGGCAATGAGAAGGAGGGAGTTGACGGCGAACGTTTGATCATGCTAGTGTGCACGCTGTCGAAGGAGGTTGACATTATCTCTTGTGGGAAGAAGATTGGCAGATCATGAAGTCTCGAGCTACATTGGCGTGCTTCACGTTTCATGGCGAGCCAGCTACGGTGAGGCTTTTCGTGGGAGCAGACTCAAGGCAGGTGGGAATGGGTTTTTTTTTCGAACTACAAGTAGTGCAGTTTTCAGTGTCCTTGGTCACAGAAGTGGGCGCAAGCATCTCTCACGCTCTATGTAGATGACGCGGCAGACAGCTTCGATGTCAAGACAACCAGCGAGTCAAGTTGGCATTGTCTTAACAGGCACGTGCGGTTCACTCAGTTCCTGGTTGTTGTCGGGCGCTCACGGGACGATGAACGAACCGAAATCGACAAGTATACGAGCGAGGACGAGAGAGCGAATCCATGGTGCGAGCAACTGTACGACGTCAAAACGATCGAGCTTTTCGACGATGGTGCTAGCTATGGAGTCGAGGAGATCGTATTCGAGGGGAAGGAGGAGTTCCACTGGACGAAGGAGGGATCAGGGCACACTACTTCATTATGCTTTGAGGTATCTGCTGCGAATATGTTGGGCCCCATCTCGATGACCACCGTAGACATTTGCTTCTCGAGCATCGGCTGTCACACTCACACTCACATCAGTTGGAGGTTGAATTACCTGGATCGTGAAGCTGAACAGGATGGCAGATTGGCTACTTCCTTCGGCTCTCAACGGAACGTGGCGGAGGGCGGGAGGGCACAGCGCGACGACAAGTCCAAGGAGGGCAAGAAAGACGAGTCCCACGCCAACGCCAAATTGCTATTGGAATCTCGCATCAGGACGCTGGTTTTCGGAACAGGTCTAATATTCTACGTCCCCAGCGACGACGAGAAGATCATGCTGTTGAAGGCGACCAATCAAGAGTACCAGGGGGAGGGGAAGGCGAACGCTCACGGGCTAGAGTTGCAGAGTTTTGCCGTACTTCTGAGCGCTTTCGTGAAGCAGGGGCTGGCGCAAGATTTAGTTCGTCACCTCCCAGAGAGAATGATGATTGGGGACATACCCATGGCCAACATGTGGAACAAGGAGTGCGACACGTCGAATACTCAGGACAGCGGAAGCGGTCGGATCACAGTCAAAGTATTGGGGTCTGTGCTGATCCAGAGCCCAATTCTCGAGCTGCAGAAGGAGTACTTGGCCACGCTCGAGGACGGGGGTGCCGAGGTGCAGCAAAAGGACAAGGCCGCTGCGCGCGTCATTTGAGCTGACAGGAGGAGGTGGAGTAGAGACGGTAGAGTTTTGTATCAGTTTTTTTCTGGCGTCTGGTTTCAACAATAAGCCAGGTCGGGCCCCAAGCCAGTGCGTCTTGTTAAGACGGAGAAGTAGCAAGAAATGGGTTGCGACGCGGTGCATCTCTCAGCTGTGCCCTTGCATGTTGGGAGTGGCCCCTGTGTCCGCACCGTGCTTGGGCTAGCTGAGGGGTGCATTGCCTCCCAGCCTGAATGCCCGCCCCGCGTGGGGCATACCAGCGAAGCGCTGGGCGCCGTTCCACCGCTCCCGAAGGCCCCACTTGGCAGTGTCTTAACTTCTTGCTGGGTCTCTCGGGAGCGTGAGCACCCCCAAAGTGAGAGTTCAGGCGAAAGAGCCGAGGCCCAGAGCATGCAGAGTGTAGTTTTCAGACAGTTGGAGCTCGAATGGGTAAGACAGACAGACAGACTCCTCCTCCTCCTCCTCCTCCTCATCATCATCACCATCATCCTCCTCCCCCTCCCCCTCCCCCTCCCCCTCCTCCTCCTCCTCCTCCTCCTCCTCCTCCTCCTCCTCCTCGTCCCCTCCTGTCCCTCCTCTCCTCCTCTTCACCCTCCATCCCTGCGCCTCCGTGGGGGAGTCCCCGCCCCCCACCTACTTCGCGCTGCTCCGTTTCCCGCCGGAAGGCCGTCAGCTTCTGCGACACCGCCTCCGGCAGAGCGCGCGGGCGCGGGCCAAGCGTGGGCGCGGCAGGCGCGAGTGCAAAAGGCGAGGCCCAGGTCGCGGAGGGGGATCCTCTTCGCCGCCCTCCTCGCCCTCCGCCTTCGAGCTTCGGGTTGCGGGCGTTTCTGCTGCTGCTGCCAGCGGCCACAGAGGCCCCTAGACGTACCTGCAGAAAGTCCCCCGGGCTTTCCGGAGCTCCTGAAAGCACCCGTTGGGCCTGGCGATCGGGCCCACATCGGTCAGAAGGGCGGCCGAACGGCCCCTCAGGAGCCCCAAGAGGCCCCAGACACCCACCAGACTCCCGAAGACAATCTCAAGAAGACCCCCAAAAGACCTTCGAAATGATCAAAATGATCTGTTCTTCTGTCTCCTTCTGGGCGTCCGAGATCACCCATGCGACCCAAAATCGCACCAGAACTCCCCCAAAGGGTTTCCAGGCAGTTCAAGAAAGCCCCGAAGCTGCCCAACAGGACCCCAAGATGGCCCGAAGAGAGCCCCATGACAACCCAAGATGGCCCTAAATCGCCCCCGAAGCACTCCAAATCGTGACCCGGTCGTTCAGGGAGACCCCGGTTGGACGCCGGGTGGTCCCCCAGAGGCCCCAGAAGGAACCCAGGAGGCCTCCAGAAGGCCCCGAGAAATTCGTAGAAACTTCCGTGAAGCCCCGAATGGGGCTCTCCAAGGAGGAGCCACCGCAGAAAGAGCTGATGAGGATGGGGGATAGCTCTAAGGCGAGAGTGGGGACCAGGAAAAGGAAACATGAGGGAAGGAAGCGACGATGTGTGACAAATGCAACAAAGAGGTATCGTTAATCCCACCAGCCCTCTGGGCGTACGTGGTCTAACGATGTCTTTCTTCCCTCTTCCAAAGAACCATCTTCTCCAGGGGTTTACCCCTTCCCCTGCCCCCTCCCCCGGACTTTTTTGGGGGGTGTCGCGGGTGGTTTGGGATTTTTCCCCACCATCCTGTGGTGTTGGGTCCTCGTTTTGAAGAGACGGTGCCCCGCGTCTCCTCTCCTTCCTTCCTTCCTTCCTTCCTTCCTTCCTCCTCCGCCTCCTCCCCCCTCCCTCCTCCCCCCTCCCACTATCACGGCGCACCCCTCACACGTTTCGTGGCCCCATAGGGAGCTCCACCGAAGGCCCCAGCGGCTGCGTTGGCATGGCGGCACCGCACCCAATTTGGCACACCCCTCACACGCTTCGTGGCCACATAGGGAGCTCCACCGATGGCCCAGTGGCTGCGTTGGCATGGCGGCGCCGCACCCAATTTGGCACACCCCTCACACGCTTCGTGGCCCCATAGGGAGCTCCACCGAAGGCCCCAGTGGCTGCGTTGGCATGGCGGCGCCGCACCCAATTTGGCACACCCCTCACACGCTTCGTGGCCCCATAGGGAGCTCCACCGAAGGCCCCAATGGCTGCGTTGGCATGGCGGTGCCGCGCCAAATTTGGCATATCCTTCACACGTTTCGTGGCCCCATAAGGAGCTCCACCGAAGGCCCCAACGGCTGCGTTGGCATGGCGGCGCCGCACCCAATTTGGCACACCCCTCACACGCTTCGTGGCCCCATAGGGAGCTCCACCGAAGGCCCCAGTGGCTGCGTTGCATGGCGGCGCCGCACCCAATGTGGCACACCCCTCACACGTTTCGTGGCCCCATAGGGAGCTCCACCGAAGGCCCCAGTGGCTGCGTTGGCATGGCGGCGCCGCACCCAATTGGCACACCCCTCACACGTTTCGTGGCCCCATAGGAGCTCCACCGAAGGCCCCAGTGGCTGCGTTGGCATGGCGGCGCCGCACCCAATTTGGCACACCCCTCACACGTTTCGTGGCCCCATAGGGAGCTCCACCGAAGGCCCCAGTGGCTGCGTTGGCATGGCGGCGCCGCACCCAATTTGGCACACCCCTTACACGCTTCGTGGCCCCATAGGGAGCTCCACCGAAGGCCCCAGTGGCTGCGTTGGCATGGCGGCGCCGCACCCAATTTGGCACACCCCTCACACGTTTCGTGGCCCCATAGGGAGCTCCACCGAAGGCCCCAGTGGCTGCGTTGGCATGGCGGCGCCGCACCCAATTTGGCACACCCCTCACACGCTTCGTGGCCCCATAGGGAGCTCCACCAAGGCCCCAGTGGCTGCGTTAGCATGGCGGCGCCGCACCAAATTTGGCACACCCCTTCACACGTTTCGTGGCCTCATAGGGGGCTCCACCGAAGGCCCCAGCGGCTGCGTTGGCATGGCGGCGCCGCACCCAATTTGGCACACCCCTCACACGCTTCGTGGCCCCATAGGGAGCTCCACCGAAGGCCCCAGTGGCTGCGCTGGCATGGCGGCGGCGCACCCAATTTAGCACACCCCTCACACGTTTCGTGGCCCCATAGGGAGCTCCACCGAAGGCCCCAGTGGCTGCGTTGGCATGGCGGCGCCGCGCCCAATTTGGCACACCCCTCACACGCTTCGTGGCCCCATAGGGAGCTCCACCGAAGGCCCCAGTGCTACAGCCCTCATGCGCCCCGTACGCCCAGGACAACGTTTCGTGGCACGCCTTTCGTGGCCCCATAAGAAGCCCCACCGAAAGCGGCACCCACAAAGCGTTATTCACAATTGCATATGGCTGGGTCCTTCGCCAGGATAATTTCTTTGGCCCCTCCCTGGAAGGGCCAATTATTGACACCTCTCACGAGGATCGTGGCCCCCGAGGGGGGCCTCGATCGGGGCCCAACTTCCGTTAATCGATAACCTCTCGAAGATGGCCCCAAGAGGCGCCCCACAGCTCAAATTATCATGGCGAAGGACCCAACCATATGCAATTGTGAATAACGCTTTGTGGGTGCCGCTTTCGGTGGGGCTCCTTATTGGGCCACGAAAGGCGTGCCACGAAACGCTGTCCTGGGCGTGCGGGGCGCATGCGGGCGGTAGCACTGCTGCCTTCGGTGGAGCTCCCTACGGGGCCACGAAGCGTGTGACGGGTGTACCAAATTGGGCGCGGCGCCGCCATGTCAACGCAGCCACTGGGGCCTTCGGTGGAGCCTATGGGGCCACGAAGCGTGTGAGGGGTGTGCCAAATTGGGCGCGGCGCCGCCATGCCAACGCAGCCATTGGGGCCTTCGGTGGAGCTCCCTATGGGGCCACGATGCGTGTGAGGGGTGTGCCAAATTGGGCGCGGCGCCGCCATGCCAACGCAGCCACTGGGGCCTTCGGTGGAGCTCCCTATGGGGCCACGAAGCGTGTGAGGGGTGTGCCAATTGGGTGCGGCGCCGCCATGCCAACGCAGCAACTATGGGGCCAGCGTGTGAGGGGTGTGCCACGCGCGCCATGCCACGCAGCCTGGGGGGCCTTCGGTGGGCTCCATATGGGGCCACGAAGCGTGTGAGGGGTTGTGCTAAATTGGGCGCGCGCCGCCATGCCAACGCAGCCACTGGGGCCTCGGTGGAGCTCCCTATGGGGCCACGAAGCGTGTGAGGGGTGTGCCAAATTAGGTGCGGCGCCGCCATGCCAACGCAGCCACTGGGGCCTTCGGTGGAGCTCCCTATGGGGCCACGATGCGTGTGAGGGGTGTGCCAAATTGGGCGCGGCGCCGCCATGCCAACGCAGCCACTGGGGCCTTCGGTGGAGCCCCCTATGTTGCAGCGAAACGTGTGAAAAAGGGGTGTGCCTAATTGGGTGCGGCGCCGCCATGCTAACGCAGCCGCTGGGGCCTTCGGTGGAGCTCCATATGGGGCCACGAAACGTGTGAGGGGTGTGCCAAATTTGCACGGCGCCGCCATGCCAACGCAGCCACTGGGGCCTTCGGTGGAGCTCCCTATGGGGCCACGAAGCGTGTGAGGGGGGTGCCAAATTGGGCGCGGCGCGGCCATGCCAACGCAGGCACTGGGGCCTTCGGTGGAGCTCCCTATGAAGGGTGTGCCAAATTGGGCGCGGCGCCGCCATGCCAACGCAGCCACTGGGGCCTTCGGTGGAATTCCATATGGGGCCTCGAAACGTGTGAGGGGTGTGCCAAATTGGGCGCGGCGCCGCCATGCCAACGCAGCAACTGGTGCCTTCGGTGGAGCTCCCTATGTGGCCACGGAACGTGTGAGGGGTGTGCCAAATTGGGCGCGGCGCCGCCATGCCAACGCAGCCACTGGGGCCTTCGGTGGAGCTCCCTATGGGGCCACGAAGCGTGTGAGAGGTGTGCCAAATTGGGTGCGGCGCCGCCATGCCAACGCAGCCACTGGGGCCTTCGGTGGAGCTCCCTATGGGGCCACGAAGCGTGTGAGGGGTGCGCCGTGATAGTGGGAGGAGGGAGGAGGGAGGGGGGAGGGGGCGGAGGAGGAAAGAGGGAAGGAAGGAAGGAGAGGAGACTCGGGGCAACGTCTCTTCAATACGAGGACCCAACACCACAAGATGGTTGGGAAAAAAATATCCTGGCGAAGGACCCGACCATATGCAATTGTGAATAACGCTTTGTGGGTGCCGCTTTCGGTGGGGCTCCTTATGGGGCAACGAAAGGCGTGCCACGAAACGCTGTCCTGGGCGTACGGGCCTTCGGTGAAGCTCTCTATGGAGCCACGAAGCGTGTGAGGGGTGTGCCAAATTGGGTGCGGCGCCGCCATGCCAACGCAGCCGCTGGGGCCTTCGGTGGAACACCCTATGGGGCCACGAAGCGTGTGAGGGGTGTGCCAAATTGGGTGCGGCGCCGCCATGCCAACGCAGCCACGCCTTCGGTGGAGCTCCCTATGGGGCCACGAAGCGTGTGATGGGTGTGCCAAATTGGGTGCGGCGCCGCCATGCCAACGCAGCCATTGGGGCCTTCGGTGGAGCTCCCTATGGGGCCACGAAACGTGTGAGGGGTGTGCCAAATTGGGCGCGGCGCCGCCATGCCAACGCAGCCACCGGGGCCTTCGGTAGAGCTCCCTATGGGGCCACGAAACGTGTGAGGGGGGTGCCAAATTGGGTGCGGCGCCGCCATGCCAACGCAACCACTGGGGCCTTCGGTGGAGCTC